TAATTTGGCGAATAGTAACCATTGACGAATAGTGTACTACGGTTACTATTCGCCAAGGGTTACTATTTGCCAATAGTTATTATTTGCCAATAGTTACTATTTGCCAAATTACAGTTAACCAATAGTAACTATTGGTCAATAATATCATTGGCTTTCAATCATATTTTTTCGTAAGGGCCTATGTCGCTATGAATTAAATCCAGTACTTCTTTTGAACAATTTTGTGATTCTTTTGGAAAAGGCATGCGAGTTATCTTGCCTTGGATACACATTACGCAATCCACTGCATGGCTGCATTGAGAACTGCACCCTGTCAGCTTCATTCTAGTTACAAGATCATTCGACGGGATTTTCTTAACAACATCCATGTCATGATGACCCAAATTCGATGCCATTGCATTAAATGCATAACTATTACAACTTGCTACTACATTTACCTCGTTTCCTATTCGCATCTTGTACAAGTTTCCGGTTACATTACTTATCGCAATTTGACATTTACCGTTACAGGTGCGAACTTCGCAAGTGTTTCCTCTGAAACTAACTATAAACCTTTTTCTGTTAACCGCTTCACAGAAATTAAATTTCCTCCGATTGATGAAATATATAACACGTTTTCAAGTGTTATATGTGTTATGTTGCCATTGCTGTTCGCAAAGTTGACCACTACTTTGCCTTTACCGGATACTTCAACTTCTTGTTCGTTTGCCACCGATACTTTTTCGCTATGTATGTTATCAAAATTAATAAAATTTTCACGTTTGCAGCAAATGTGACAGGTTCCACCAAAATCTAAAACCCATCCATTAGCTCTGTCTGTTAACTTTAATCAGAAATAATAATTCATCAGACATTTCGTTACCTTTAACTACTGTAAGAGATGTATTGAAAATGTATTAAGAGACGTAAGAGGGCGCGCGATAAGCTGCGTGCGCAGGAGAGGAAGAGGAAGGAAGCGCCATGTTGTCTTCTAGCAGTGATCGGTTAAAGTGTCGGATGTGTAACGTCTCCACAATAAAGAGTTTCGTCCCTTATTAATTACGCGAGTGGAATTATTATTACAGCCATCCTACCACATTCTCCTTACGCCCCTTACATTACATTGGCTTTTGTCTTGTTTTAATTATCTATTGCCTGCTTCTTTGCCTTCCATTCGGCAAACTCTAGGCACTTGTTGTGAAGATGTCCTTTACGCTTACAAAAATAACATGTAAGAAATGTTTTAGTTGTATCGGTATTTGAAACTTGAACTTGAACTTTCAGCACACTAGATTCACCTTGGGCTCCATTATCTCTATTTTTACGCCGTCGGTATTCTTCAATAATCTTCGAACGCACAAAAGACGATGATAATTCAGCTTCCGATCGTGCCTCTAATGAAATGGTCAAGCCATCGTAACTATTTGGTAATGAATCACAACTATATAAAACACAGATAAAATGTGTAAAAATATAATACGCGTATAAATGCGTAAAATGTGACTACAGATTTACACACTTAGATTTGGAGTGTAGTATTCATAATCTAATATTATATCACATAAATATATCTATTATATAAATTTTCATAGGGAGTTTTATACACCATGTAGATTTCCACATGGATTTTCATACACCATTTGGATTCCCAGATGGATTTTCATACACCATGTGAATTCCCAAATGGATTTTCATACACCATCTGGATTCCCAGATGGATTTTCATACACCATGTGGATTTTCATGTGGATTTCCATACACCATATGGATTTCCACATGGATTCCCATACATTGTATGGATTCCCATATAGGATTTTTAATATCCTATATGGATTCCTAGGCATTCCCATGGTTTCCATGGGAATCCACCTGGTTTTTTTTTCAACAGGGATATGTGTGAAGTCATCAATAAATTTATAGAAGTATCTCATATCATTGTGACTTGCGACATTAATTGGTCCGCAGACATCAGAGTGCACTAATCCAAGTGGTCTCTTGGTTCGAACTCTTGTATTGCTAAACGGTAATTTTGTCTGTTTTGCCTTAACACAGCTTTCGCAGAAATCCAGATCCTCGAACTTGTAGTCAATTCCTTTTGCCATGTTCTTTGAAATCAGCTTGCACATATTTTGGTGTCCTAAATGGCCAAGTCTCTTGTGCATAGTCGATGCACTCTTACTGTAAGTAGTAGCATTTGCAATAACTTCAGGTGTATGCATTTGTAAATAATACAATCCTCCTTTTAATTCTCCTACGCCGACTAGATTTTCATCCATAAAGATTTTTGCTTGACCTTTTCCAAATACTACAGATTCTCCATTTTGATCTATCTTGCTAACCGATATCAGATTCTGTCGTGATGACGGGGCATACAAAACGTTCTTCAAAACTCCAGATTTCTCCCGCCCGTTAAGCAATACGTTCATTTGCATGTGTCCACCTTTGACAGCATACATGGATCATCACCATCCTTGGCGACACCGATAAGAATAGGAGAGTTTAAATTATGTGAATAAAGGAGTAATGAATCGTCATTCACAATATGAGTTGTACAGCCTGAGTCAATAATGCTTTCAAATTTTGTGCATGCCATTTTATTCGACATTGTCATAAATGCAAACGGTTTGTCAGAATCTGTGTCATTTTTACTCGTGTACTTGAATGTGCTTGCTGCTTATTAAATTTCTTTTTTATAAATTTACTTTTACATCTGTTTGCTTTGTGGCTAGGCTTACCACATTTGTAACACGTTATATACTTTGTTTGTGCTTCAAAGGTTAGTGGTGCAGTTCCGCTTGTTACGCTAGCTGTATCTGTCTTCTCGCCTTTCAATTTTAATTCTGCTTCTAATAGACGGCCCTTTACTCGATCCATGATTAAGTCGTTTTCTTCGAGGGTTTCAAGTGTGGCAACAACAGTATTGTATTCATTTGGCATAACTATTAATAAAAATATAATTAATTCAGATTCATCGACTATGCCTCCTGCCGATTTATAGGCTCGAACAGCGGTTTCGAATTCCATGAAGAAGCTACTAGATAGATACTCTTTATTGTTCCCCTTAGGGTTACAATTTTCTCCTATTTACATCCAATTTACTTAATCTATACTTATGTCGAACTTATTACTAACTTATACTACTCTTATATCTAGTCCTTATCAGCTACCTAACTGTTCCCTCCGCATCTTTCGCATTTACACACACGCATACGCTTACACGCTATCTTGGGGATCTCCGTTTCCGGCGCCTCTACTTGTCAAATCACCGGTATATACTGTAGCCTTGTTTCCTGGCTGTTCTTTCATTTGTTCCTCCTCTCCACATCCATACATACCTCCATACATACACATTCACTCCCATTCTTCCTCACCCTTCCTCCTCTCTCATTCCCCTCCTCTCCCCCCTATCTCCCGCTCCTTCCATTCTTCCCCTTTATTCTTTCCTCTCCTCCCCTCCTTTCCTTTCTTCTTCCACCTTCCTCATCCCTCTCCCTCCCCCTCCTCCCCCAAAATCCTCTCACACGCCTCCTGCCAACTACCCCCTCCCCCTCCCCTCCACATCCCACACATGCTCCCACGACTCCAGCCCTCCTCCGCATAGCCTGCACACTTTTCTGTCTTCTTTTTCCCAGTATCTTCCCTCCAACATTTCATTCCCCTAACCTAAATCTTACGATCCTCCTTCATCTGCTCTCTCCCCAACCTCTCATCAAATACTTCCCTCCCCCCATATCCTTCTGTACCACTTATTATAACTCGAATTCTCTATCCTCTCCTGTCTCTCCTCTCTCTGCCTCCTTCTGTCTCTTTCCTCCATGACCTCAGAACTTATCTCTCCCAATCCTGCACCTCTATTCCTCTATCCTTATAAAACTGACTTCTTTCCCCTTCCCACCCTGTCAACTCCTTTCCCTTTGACGCTCTTTCCCTTATCTCCCTCAGACACATTTTTGCAATTGCACTTCCCTTTCCTTCTTCCAGTCTTTCTTCGAAGCCCCATGCCCTTTTCCCTGCTCTACTTCTCATCAGATCCCTTTCATGAAGAAGCTACTAAGTAATTTATCTTTTTCGCATTTCATAAACATGAATTTCTTTTTGAGATATACTTTAGTTCCTAGCAACTTACGTTCAAATATGGCACATAAAGAATTAATCATTTCGTAGGCGGTAGACTTATCCTTCACATAATCCAGATGTGAATTTGCGATGCACCATACGATTAAATTTCTTGCTTTTGCATCTGCCTTTTTCCAAGAATCGGATTCCAAATCCGTTCTCGTTGGTACTGTTGTTACATGTTTCCCAACCTCTTTGTCTTCGAGCAGTGCTAAAATGCGGAATTTCCATGATGAAAAGTCAGTTCCAGCAAATGGTACAATTCCAAGCGTGTTGATCGGGTCCATAACCTCTTGAGATAATTAAATCAATTAATAAGATGAATAAATGGAAATAAAGCACACTTGAGATATCGGACCTTAAAAACGGTTTTTTATTTACTGAGTACACGAAAAGAATAGATATAAGAAAACAGCGTGACTTTAGTGATACATAAACAGCGCCACCACTGGCAGTAACAATATATAGTAAATTTTAGAAAAGTGCCCAAAACACTATATGGGGTTAGAGCGATACATCAGATTTCGCAACAACTCTCGGCTAGAGTCCTAGAAAACAGAGATGCGACATTGAAGGGTATAGTCTGATTGGCTGTCTAAATCACATGACAAAGCACCAATTAAATGATCAAAGCCATTTTAATTCACTATTGCACCTGTAAGAAATGGCCAGCTCGCCTAGTTATTTTCCCCAGCAGTAGTATTTCTTAAGGTGCCTTTACATACGCAGCACGCAGCAGCAGCAAAATGTCACGTGATTCAAATTTTAAAAAACCGCTTCCGCCGCATTTGCTGCGCATGAAAAGGAATTTGCAGCAAAATTTGAATCACGTGACATTGTCACTTGTCAATTGCGGCTTGTCATTGTGACACGCTCCTGTCATCCGTCGCGTTATCGTGCTGATCGTGCATTGATCGTTAAATCGACATGATTTTTAGCATAAGTTGACAACTTCGCGGCCGGACAATTTGCAACAAGAAAGAGATTGTTCTACCCACGAGTTCTTCCGTTTAAATTCCGTTGGTGCGTCGCTGGATCTAACCTCAACGGCCACCACCGAGTGGCTTGTCTGACAACAAGGTATAAACTAACTAAATAAAATAATTTTTCTATCTTAATGTATAGTGTATAAAAATATCTATTTTTCAGCTAATACATGCAAGATCAGTGTTTCCATGTCAGGATATACCAGCTGTCAAATTTAAATACTCTGCAGAGATAAAAGACACAATACATAAATAGGATTTATATGAATTTTGTATTTATTCATTTATATAAAATCTATAATATTCTATAACAATTATTAATATTATTAATAAAAATAATATAAATTGCGAAAAACAAGTAGAGTTTTAGTAAATATATTTATGATTGTATCTTCTTATATAAGCTGCTTTAAAGAAATTAAGATAAAATTTCGATTTAATTTTTATTGACGAATATTTTATATTTTTTAGATTCTAGTACCAAAATCTTTTAGAGTCCTAATGCCTGCATGTTTAGAAATGTACTTGAGAATTCAGTCCAGGTCACATATGAATTCTGTCAAGAGCAATTAGTATCATCTTACGCAGTTGTTATTGCTGTGGGTTCAATCCGCTCCGCGGAGATCACCACCGAGATTGGTGCAGGTCGGTGATACATGTGAGATTCAGATGACAGTGAGTGAGTAAGTTCATTGAATCATCAGGATAACTATTCAATGAAATATTTCCACTCGTCTCCGATAATGGAGAAACACATGACTTGTCAAGACCAACATGTTCCGCATTCGTATCTTTTTCTGAATAACTGATTCATCATCAATTACAACGCAGTCTCCATTATCTGTAGCACTTTTTCGTATTACAACTCCATTATCTATATAACAATCATTATATATACAGTTGTATCATTTATTTTATATATTTTTAAAGAAGCTACATTTTTTTATGCATATTTACCGCATACTGGATAAAAATATCTATTGTTATCAATAAAGAAACGTTTATATCCTTCCAAGCACTTATGTGTTGAAATTAATGATGGTTCTGTTATGGTTTCACAAATTCCGCAAGTATTAACAAGTTTTATCTAACAAAAAATAAAATAATAGTCAATTAACATATTGAAAGATTATTGTATTAGGTTATAAAGTATACAATTTTCTATTAAACACCTTCAAAAGTAAAATTATCAAAGTTTTCTTGTTTAGAATAAACAATAAAATTATTGAAGAATTGTAAGGTTGTGTCTCAATCAAAGTATTGTCTCAATAATTTAACAAAATTAATGAATGAAATAATATAGGCTGAGCCAGAGCAGTTTATTAAATGCTTCGATATAAAATATGTTAAAATACAATTATAGATATAATCAACAGACATTTTGATTTACATCAGGTCATTTTCAATATTTACTATTTACTATTTTCAATCACACATGACTTGACAGCATGATTGACACGGCTTTTTGCTGCTCGTTCGCCTTTGCTGTTCGTTTGGTTGAACTTCAATAAGATGCGGCTAAATGTATTTTGCGCCGGAAGTGCGTCATCTAAGTAAAATTTTTAACCAATAGTAACGAATTGCTGCTGCTGCGTGCGGCATATGTAAAGGTACCTTAAGTTGGCAATTAGCAGCGCTTCCGTTCCGCGGCGCTAGTGTTCTCGTGATCGCCTCGCGATTGGCGGACTCATCCCGCGTACGTGCTGCGCCCGCGCGACGGGCCACGTGAGGCCTTGGCGTCCTCTGATTGGCGCATGTGATTCTTTTGCCTTAATATCGTTTCCGCTTGGAGACAGTGAAACAGTCTTAAGTCTTTTGTCAAAGAGAAAAGATCTCAGCCATTATGCCTCGCGAGTCGAGCGCCTTTTCGTGTTAACCGAATAAATCTGTGTTCTGTTAATTGCTGTGGTTCACGAGTGTCTACCCTAGTTACGTTCCTCCAATATTTCTGACAAATATCTCTACTTCCTTTCGCGGT